AATAATCGCTCTGGGTACCAATTTTTTAAAGGCGCCATCAGATTTGTACATAGTCCATCTTCAGTTAGCGAATCAGTTATAGAGATGTGTCTAACACTTAAAAATGAAGGATTTGAAGCCCCTTCAAACCCTTATGTAAATATTGCTCTGAGATTGTATCTATGTTGTCCCGTATCAAACTGCTCTTTAGAGCGATTATTTAGTGCATTAAATAAACAGTATCGCTATATTAAAAAATCAATCGCACATCACAAAAAGTTTAGGGTATGATGACATATTAATCGATGAGTATAGTTCCTCTAAAGCTTGCAAAAAATAATGCACATTGTAAAAATCTATTGCTTTGTAATTTGTTGATAATAACCAGTACAGTGGGTGTCAGGGCATATTGGGAACGGAACATAGTTGTGTCGGGGCAGAGTGGGGACGGGGAGGTCCCAGGTTAACAGGAATTTTTAAATCAGAAAGTGATAAAATCACTTTCGAAAATATCGATGTTGCCTCTTTACATAAAACTAACCTTTTATAAACTCTTACTTAAGCCACTATGGACATATGGAGTCCAAATCTGGGGTTCAGCTAAAAATTCAAACCTTAACAAAATACAAGTCTCACAAAATAAAATACTCCGTCTCATCATTAATGCATCACCATACATCTTAAACCATACTTCACACTCTGATTTACAAAAAAAACAATATTACAAGTTGCCCAAGACTACTACAGACGTTACCACAAATCTCTTGAAAATAACCCGAACCCCCCTGTAAATAATCTCACATTACCCTCAATGCCCAACAACCCATGTTTCTACAAAGACAACTATAAAAATGTAGGGTAATTGTCAGTATTTCGAATTTAGTTTTATATATGTATAGAAAAAAACCAGTACAGCGGGGTCGGGGCAAAGTGGAGACGGGGAGGTCACAAATTTACAGGTACTTTTATAAATTAAAGTGATAAAATTGAATAAAATCACTTTGAAATAAACGCTTTAATGCTTATTTGTAAATACAGCACCTCAATTTAATACTTTCTAACTTTGCAGGTTTATACTGTGCTTGGTTTGGACTGTACTAGCTTGAAAATACTAACTACCGATTTGCCTCGAAGCGTTTTTTCGAATGTGATTTTATCACTTTTAGATTTAAAAATTCCTGTAAACCTATGACCTACCCCATTATGCACCGAACCCACTGTACTGGTTTTTTGTAACATAACAATATTAGCTCACGTTTGTCTGTAATTATACGTTTTATTTCTCCAAAACCACATTTGACGATTTTAGTAGGCTGATAAAAACTCAATAATTTCGGATTACCTCATTCCATTAGTGACAAAATTCGACAAGTAGGGTGGTCAATTTATATGTTTTTGGGGTCGTTGATTACTAATTTTAATATCAGTTCTACATTTTAATCAGCCAGAAAGAAATAAAGTAAAAAAAAAATTAATTGAATTTGTGTAAACTTAAAATCAAAAGTGGTACTTGAGCACAAATCTAGTATCATTCTGCATAGATATACATAAAATTGTTTTAATAATTTGATACATTATTTTTTTTAAAGATTTTAGGTGTTTTTATAAATACGCAATCTGCGAAAACACAGTTTTCCAGCAATTAAAATAAAACTGTAGTGCCGAACTTGCTTTCCGTTTAATATGTTATGAATACATACGAGTTCTAACTACTGACAAATTTTCAACTTACATGTCTTAAAATTACGGCTAAAAAACTAAAAAAACAAAAAAAAATAAGAAACCCCCCTAAGGGGGTGGGAAATGAGTTTATTTCAATTTGATACAACTGACGTGTGCGGGCATACCAAATAAACATTTGCCAATAAATTTCAGCTCGATCCGACTCTTTTTCTCAAAATTATAGCCAGTAAAAGTTCTAACTTAAAAACTCGTACGGTTTTTTTTTCCAAATTTCGTCTGAGAAGAAGTAAACGGTTTCAACTTTTACTCCCCAAAGTACCAAATCGAAGCTAAAAATGTAGTATTATTAAATATTTTTTTTCTATAAATCTTATAATTTTACCATTTAACACTGTCCTCATTTGAAATGAAATAAGAATTAAAGCAGTCTCTTATGATGAATGCTTCGTTTGGTTGCATTTCCCCTGATTATGAGCAAATTTTGTATGCCCAAAATTGTATTAAAGTTTTATAACTCGCCTAGATGCCACAAATTATTATCGTCTCCTCTTAAAAAAATATGTATACAAACTGTTTATCAAGATTGTCTGGACAAATTTTTAGTTTTTGATAGCGTATTCCAAATGTCTTTGTTAGAATTCCAAAAACGCGTCTGACTTTGCTGTGTCTATAGTTGTGTGCTTTATTTAACACATTTTGATTGAGATCCAGGGTAAAAAAGGATTAAATGTTTTTGTAATGGGAAACCTTCATTCATCCGTGACAATTGCATAAAGAACTTTTTGTCCGGTAAAAAAAGTTTTACCAATTTTAAAAATGCCTATTGCTTTGTGTTCCGTTCAATTTTAAAATATTTAAATTGGCGGAGACTATGAAGATGGTGGAAAATTGTATACAAATTAGAGGTCTTGTTTTAGGCCAATCGAACCAATAAGTCATTAATGATATGATAAGACCAGGAGATAGGTGTATAAAATATTTTAATTGTTAAAGAGGGATGATTTTTTATAATTTCGCACACTGGCACGTG